TTGAAGAAGTGGTGGTCCAAGATCTACAGGACGATTAGAAATTTTTGCCTTAGCGAACGGCCGACGAGCGCCTTGATTGGCTGCGTAATACCAGGTCATGGTCAGGTCACACTTTCGACCCAGCCATCTCGACGCCCTTCAATCCTGACCACCTTCCATGCATCCTCGACCACCATCCCACAAAGTGATCCCAATCATTCGTCGACCAGAGATTGCCTAAACCGTGTCTTTTGTAATTTGGCAAATTTGTCGTCTACGTGCCTTTGAACCTTGCCATGTTCTTCCGGAATTTTTATTTTTTGCTTATCTGGTCTCTATTTCCGCAAAATAAAAGATTGGAAGCACGACGCAATTGCATTCATTCCTCAGCGATTTATTCCCAACCTGTCACCTTGCGTCTCAATCAGATCCCTGAAGAATCACCCCGCACATGAGGCAAGTCCATCATCCGATTTACCCTGTGGATTCTCATAATTTCTCACAGTGCTATCGCCCTGACAGGTGACAAATCATGGTCAAGCTCATCGACTTGTACGCTAACGAGACTTTCTGATCAGATCTTACGGTTGAATTGTCGACCCGAGAAGATTGTTTCTTAACTGAGATCCATCATTTGACCTTGGAATTCAGTTTTGACGGAAATGTTATATGCAAAGTCAATCTATTGTCACGGGATTCGGTGCCTGGAATTTGGGACGCTAACGAGACTCCCGGATTGTAAGTATTCCGACCACATGGATGAACAAGATCCTAAAATTAATCAAAAACTTTAGGAGTGGCCAATCTGGAGAGCTTATGATATCAATTTGGATGGAACTGGTTGAAAACGAACGTCAACTACTCGGGTTTATGGAATTGGGCCGAGGAGAGCTCTATGGGGCAATAGGAAAACAATATGGTAATGTTCATAATGACATCTAATTCAGTCATCTGACCAGATTTGGATGGCAGAAGTGCCGTTGATGCGTCATGAAGAGTATCCCAGTCTGATTCTCAAGAGCCGAGTCATAGCTATAGAGAATAACCAGGCTGGACAACAAAGCACGCCCTCCACCGTAAACGATGCGCCCGGGGGTATGCTGGTGAAGCGTTCATTCGTTGCAGATGACGAAGCTGCTCGTCATAGAAATTTGGAGCAGGAAATCTCGCAATTAAAGGCTACACTTGACCGTACTCCTCAAGATGACCTAGACTTTCCGAGTATCTCAAATAGTCTAGGCATACGTCTGGCCTGGCGGTTTGAGGGATCAGCGCGGCTAGTCGATATCGACGATGCAATAATAAAGCTCAAAGCAGCGGTCAAACTCGCACCGTCCAGTCATCCCGAAATGCCCGATTACTTGAACAATCTCGGGAATGTTCTATTCAAGCGCTTCGAGTTTCTCGGAGACTTCGCTGACATCGATAATGCCATCTCACGACAAAGATCTGCAATCGAGCTTGCATCAGATAACGATCCTTACAAGCCCCTATATCTGACCAACCTTGCAAGATCTTTGGCATACCGCTTCGGGCGCCTTGGGGACCTTGATGATCTCGCCGATACCATCTTGCGGGAACAAGCGGCAATCGATCTCACTCCCGATGATCATCCTGCCAAGCCTGGTTATTTGACCAATCTTGGAGCCTCACTTCGACGACGCTTCGAAAGGCTTGGCGATCTTAGCGATATAGACCGCGCCATCTCACTAGAACAAGCCGCAGTCACTCTCATCGCGGATAGTCACCATGATAAACCCACCCTTCTAATCAATCTTGGGACTTCTCTTGCAATCCGCTTCCAACGGCTTGGAGACTTGCGGGATATCGATACTGCTATCTTGTACCAACAAGCGGCACTTGATCTCATCCCGGATCATCACCACGACAAACTTGTCTGTCTGGGTAATCTTGGGAACTCCTTTCTGACCCGCTTCCAGCGGCTTGGAAATATTAGTGATATTGACAGTGCTATCTCACAGCAACAGGCGGCCGCCAATCTCATACCGGACCATAATCCCGTCAAATCCGCACACTTGGCAAATCTAGGATGCTCTCTTCAACATCGCTTCGAAACGCTCGGGAAAGTCGAGGATCTCGACAATGCTATCGTACAACATGAAGCCGCACTCAAACTCGCACCAGAGAGACACCCTAACACGCCCATGTATTTGACCAACCTTGGAATCTCTCTAAAAACCCGATTCATCCTTCTTGGGAATCGTGGAGATATCGACAGTGCCATCTCACGACAGCAAGCGGCGGTTGACCTCATACCAACTGGCCATCCTAACAAGCCTGCTCAACTGTTTAATCTGTCTAGTTCAATTTCCCTCCGGTTCTACCGTTTTCATCAGCCTCATGATGCTAAATCAGTCATATCTATCTTTTCTGCCGCAGCGGTCTCTCCTGACGGCCCTGCGACGGTTCGTTTCGATGCTGCAGAAGCTTGGATCAAATTTGGGACTTTCATTAACCACCATTCCTTGTTAAACGCATACGAGTGTGCGATTGGCCTTATCCCATTCGTCGCTTGGTTGGGACTTCCTATCCAAGATCGACATCGGTATCTCATTAAAATAGGAGGAATCGTTCGAGATGCAGCTGCGGCGGCTATCTCAGCTGAGCAGTATGATAAGGCGCTCGAATGGTTAGAACAAGGTCGATCGGTCGTTTGGACCCAGATTCTTCAGCTTCGAACACCCCTCGAACAGCTACAAAGCACCCATCCGGACATTGCCAATCGACTTTTACATCTTTCTGGTCTACTAGACCAAGGGGGTAGTCGACTTGGGTTGTCTGAAGGAGGTGCACTCTCCATGGAAGAAGAGGGTCAACGGTATCGAGCATTGACAATGGAAAGAGAAGCATTAATCAAACAAATACAATCTATTCCAACCTTTTCAAACTTCTTGAGGCCCCCAAAGTCGTCCGACTTGATGGGCGCTGCCGAAAATGGACCTGTGGTTGTTTTGAACATTGCGAAACACCGGTGTGACGCTCTTGCTCTCGTCGCCGGATTGGACGAGATAGTCCATATTCCGCTGCCAAATATCACTTCTTCCAGGGTAACAGTGCTTCGAGACGAGCTCAGAGATCTTTTAAGTTCGAGTGGCGTTCGAACGAGAGGTGAACGGGCGGCACAGAAAGTTACAGATGGAACAGATGAAGAAGACTGCGAATATATCCTCGCGGAACTATGGACCGGATTGGTTAAGCCTGTTATAGATGCATTGGCCTTTTCTGTAGGAGAGCCTTACTCATATTCTTGGAGTATTACTGACGATATTCCCTTTAGCCTTGTCCAGATAGACCTCCACGGATTTGGTGGTGTGCAACCGGACCACTCGCCTTCCTACCCATCCATGCAGCTGGAATATACGATTCGGACTCAACTGATGCGCAACTCAGTGACTATGTCATATCGTCGTATACACCATCTTTATCCGCCTTGCTAGAATCACCCAATCCGGCAATCGATTCTTCATTCAAACTACTATCAGTCATACAACCGTCAGCTCCAGGTGCATCATCCATTCCCAACACCAAGGAAGAATTGGATAACATTCGACGTCATCTCACCAATCGATCACACGTTGTCCTTGAAGGTCAGAATGGCCTCAAGGCACGAGTGATGACAGAAATGCAAGGTGCTAACTGGCTCCATCTCGCGTGCCATGGAATACAGAAGCCAGAACAGCCGACAAAAAGCGCTC